CGAAACTCGGGTGTGGCGGCAATTTCAGCGGCTACACTAGAGTTGGCTGCCCACAGCTGATGAGGGCCAACAGCCCGAAATACCGGAATACTAAAAAAAGAGGTATTACTCTTCTTCGGCGACGTGTCCAGTACCCCATCTGGAAGTACCTATGGCACCTACAAGAAATGCTCTTAAAAGGTCATTGTTTTGTAGACCTAAACAACTACTGCTTCGTTCCTTGTTTCCTCGTGAGGAGAAAAAATCCTAGGCCAGGGGAACTAATTTCAGAACTGAAGAGGTCGAAAATAAACTTAAGCATAAGTCGGCTTCAGCACTCAGGAAGCTGTTGAGAATTATATTAGTCTAACAGACGGTTTAAGAACTATAAAACAATAAATATTGCGTAACACACGAGGAAAGCAGTTTTTATTGAGTCTGTAGCCTTTCCATCATTACAATATCGCAAAAGAGAACTACGAAGCTTACTAGTCTACGCTACTGTAGCAGAGATTGGTTTAAAAGCGAGTTGAATAATTGCATAGTCTTTTGCTAATAAAGAATATACTAAAAGATAAAAGCAGAAATACGAGTTGTAAAATGAGACCTAGATCCCATAGGTTGAAAACACCTGGGAAACAAAGCCAGGACAATTAGAAAAAGACTGATGAGATCAGTCTAACGGTCACGGACGCGAAGAGGCATTGGAGAAGCGGTGTTAAGAAAAGGAACATGATGTAAGCCGGCAAGAAAACGAGCTCGTGGCTCAATGGTTAGGGCATTTGAATCTGATCGAAAAGGTCGCGAGTTCGAGGCTCGGGTGGGGCACCACTTGGCCCTGGGTATGACTGGCTGACGATGGCTAATAAACTAGAACTATTCTTCCTTGTTTTTGCCAAGGCAGAGGAGGACAGATGGGTTCCGTAGGCGGTCAGGCGAACGTTCACCAACGGAGAACATGATCTACTACGGTAAATGAATGAGTCACGCTAAGCAGAAAGGGGTCTGATCTGGCCGAAATGCACGGCGAACACGGCTATGAGAAAAATGAATCCTACTAAGGAGATTTTTATTGTCCTTAAAGTCCTTAATGTCGTAATGCTCAATGCAGCCGGCAAAAATATGACAAATCGAGACCGGAGGAATCGAAGGAGGGCGTAGATGTCGAAACAGGGAAGACAAAGTACACATGCGCACACTAAGATTTGATTTATGGACAGTAATGTACTCAAAGTATGGGCAACCCTAACGCAAAGAGTGCTCCGTAACGTTTTAGAACCTACAAAATAAGTTCATATAGCCAATGAAAGGCATGAATGAAAGGCAGCGCCAACGCATGGGAGTGCGAATGTTTACCGAAAAGGCAAGTTCAATTATTTTCTATCATTGCACACAATTCGCCTCGGTAACGTAAAATCAGACCGACCAAAAAAACGCAGGCGGCCTGAAGAGGTACACGTCCGACGGCAGGCATGACTGCCCAATTCATCCGGCTCCATCCTGCACTTACTAAGGCAAACCAACAGTCATCTTCCCTTGTTAACCATCAGCGACCAACGACTGAAGAGAGGTTATTCCGTCGACACACCGGGGTCGCCGGCTATGAACTGCAGTACTATAAATGTACTTCAGACCGGCCATTACTCCATTCACACGATCTCTGTTGGCTACTTCTTCGGCTGCCATACTCAAATGGGGCATCATCTTGGGCGCCGAACATGGTCCAGCCAACTTAGTCGAAGAGGATGCAGTTTACGGTTCAGGTTCCTGCTTGACTATCGCGACCCTCGCTGGAGCCGCTAGGAAAAACGAGTCCGAAGACTGGCACTGGAAGCTTCCGGGAGCACGCACACACTGGAAGAGCAGCATCATTCGGATGAAAGCTCTGTATGTTCAAACAGGTGTTCTGACTGATTACGACTCTGATCAGGGAGCTTTTAACAACGTCAAATGCCACGTGAATAAATATGGATGTGGTGGATTTTAGTTTACTGATTTAACAGCACCTTCTTCCTAATGATCCAGAAGCTATTAATTAGATAAAGACTTTTACTGTCAGCCCTGACTGGACAACGAAACCAAGAGTATTTTCGTTTTGATGGGTTATTTGTAAGATTCATAAAAAAATATAAGTTGCCTCGCGTAGCTGACCGATCGGTGGGGTACATGGCGCTGGAATAGAGTCAAGAGATATTAACGAATTTACTCTTCCCATCAGTCAGGCGGACTTGGATCTACTTCAGCGATAATGGGTGTCAAATAACCTACCCGTCTTAAATAGCGTGTAATCATACATTTTGTGCATTCCTGTAGCGTGCATGCAGGGATAAACGGATGAAACAGACAGATCGTAATTTATAAACGTCAAAGGACTGGTCAAAGGATCTTCATCTCAGACAAAAGCTTAACTGACTCCTTCATATCTGAGCTTTACAGTAGAAGCAGAAACAGCTGAGGAAGCACATTATGATGGGGCCATATTAGATAAGCAGGTTCTATGCTGTAGCCTGCCAGCCTTCCTTAAAATTGGTATTAAAACAGCGCTGCTCCTCTGTGAAGTTTAGCTATACTTCGTACATTTAAATAAAGCCAGATAATAGCAGAGAATAACACTTGTTGATTAGTGTTAAGATTGTTGGTTATTTCAAGGAAATTGAAATTACATTTCTTGCGAAGCCTGCCTTCGAGTTTATTGTTAATTATATCCACAGATAACCAACTCCAGGTGCACTATCGTTTTTTTATTCTGCTACCTCATGAAGGATCGCCTCTGCAGACTGCGCGCTATAGTAACATTTATATCCGGTTGAAGGAGGTGGTGTAAATGTGCACGGCACTCGAACGATTGACTCTGTTTCTTTGAGCAGATTGTCTTACTTTACAGTAATGTTATCACGGCACCTTATGTGGGTGTTTCGTCATTGAACGGACGATAAATTGACACAGCCTTCTGGTGGCACCGTTACCTGAAATGCGCTTGAGATCTCAGACAAATTTGGCCCACAATTATTTGCGATTGCATCGAGCAGAGCGCAAACCCCAAGGCATTTAAGCACTCCGAGTAGGAGAAGACGTCAACACTTTCAACCCTCTGACGACGCTTGCTTTGGTCCAACGACTTCTCCAGTTCAAGTTATTTATTCTTGGCGAAGTCCTCTCAAGAGTCTAATCGGATCCAGTACTTTGGATACGTATGCACAAAATTGGTCTTGAGTGCGATCACCATTAAAAGAGATCATAATTAGGTTTCCTGGCGGTTCCGCACTACACAGAACACTTTTAGTCCTTCGTCAGTCAGACAACGTTGCCCAGGGCATAGTGATTAAATGTTAGCTGCGGGCATGTAGGTAAATTTCCCGTCCTCAGATTAAAACTGCACAAGTCACACTGCTGAGCGACGTCCACCATAGTAAACTCCTTCTGCAAGTCGAGCGTTTCCTTAACAGAGGCGAATACTTCCGTGATAACTCTGATAAGTTATAGGAATAACAAAGACGGGTGGAGAGACTAAAAAAACGTTTGTCAATTACAAAAGGATTATGTGACTGTTCAGAAATCACATTTTTATGGTATGTTCATAAAATTCAGCTTCGCAATGGGCTTCTAATAAGCAATAGTTAACACTACTTAGAAAATAATTCAAAAAAGAATCGTTCAATAAACGTATAAACTATTATCCGAGACATGGTCGCTGAGCCTATATATGTATTTGAAGTCGAAAATATCCGATCAATGGAATTTTATGCAAGATGAAATTTGAGTGGTATTCGAATATGATTGAAAGGCCTGGAAATGAAATCACAAGGGTAACCATTGAAACCTTCCTGAAAGTGTACAGCCGATCAATAAAACTGTATAATTATTGTTCCTATTTACTAAAAATTCTGCTCTGTATGAGAAGTAGGCCTTAGGCTCCGTGGTCACGGGAACCACCCTTAAATCAAGACAACAGTCATGCTAACTGACGAAAGTAGTTGGCCGTCGTTATTCTCTATGCCAAGTGGATGTCCTTCTTTAAGCAAAAGGCTGCATTTTAAACCTGTATTAATGTTAACAGCACGATTGGGCCACTGTGAAACAAACAGGCGAAGCATGACGTTTTTGCGCCAATGCTGATCCCAAAACAATTCAACTCAGAGACAAATTGAGTTTTAGCTTAAAATAATATCTAGGCTGCTAGAGATACAAACGCAATAATGACGCTACATTCCGTACATAACCGCTTCTCTTTTGAGTAAAAATATTGGGTAGAAAAAAACGGTTAAGACGGTCGAACATCAAAACATATATTAACAAGCATGGATAAAACAACGAACAGAGGAACAGTGAAGTTCACTCATGCGTTGAAAATAAGCACTATGAAAGACCGCTTCCATTTCATTCAATAGCGACCATGCACGGTTTCCGTTGTCAACGGTTTCAAAAATGCAAACAACCCTGTCACCTAATAGTTTTCCCTATCATTAATTTCTCGAGTATTTTTATGATAGTTTCTCACACCGTACGACTGAGTTGCAGGGTCTCAAATCACTATGGGAATGCTTGTGACAATGGTAAAACTCAAGATTGAGACATAACTAAGCACTTAAAAAATAATTCTGCAAGGTCGCAACACTGGACAAAATGGTAAAAATAGCAGAATATCAGAAATACTGTTGTCTAGTGGAATAGCAAAGCAAGAAAGAAAAACATTAGCACTTCAGGGAGTCGAAAAGTACGGCTGCAAAAGGCTGAATATAAGCTTCACATGCGCCATCTTTGGATAATTTATAAATTAGTTGATAGACAATTCATGAAAGTAACAACACAAGTGAAAAGTGCAGATGTGTTTCACAGCAATGATATAATTGCTCCTCAGAGTAACAATAAAGGCAGCTACGAAAAATTCGACAATTATAAAAGTGCACTAATGAACATGCAGGTGAAAAATTTGAAGTTTTCAATTATGTTGACATCAAACAATAAGTATTTGGCAGCACTTTAATCTTACTCAATAACTGAAAGCATCCAAAAGATAAAACATGAACGCTTTCCGAAGTGGCCATATAGAAGCAGATCAAAATATTTCAGAAGGCCAAAAACACACCAAGCCGGGAATACAATGTCCAAACGTACCTTTTGTCGAGAACAACAAGACGGTCCTGCCTACGTACTGAGAGGTCCTCTTTACTGTGAGCCTGATAATCGAAGATGGCCACAAAATTTTTGGACGTGCTCCTGCCTATCCGTGTTGAGTCAGTAGAATTTGCACTATGGATTTGATCGGCAATAGAATGCCTAGGAGAGTTTGTCATGGGGTGGTGGATAAGATATTTCTGTGGATTTTGTGGTTGTCTCTGAAATATTTTCTGCTGACTTTTAAGTACTCTGTTAGAATCAGAATCCATACCGAGGGACGAGCAGTGGGAAGCGCAGTTCACCTCAGTCGAATGACCGTATGTTAAAGAGGCTCCGGCACTCCCAGAATAATTGGGGGCTGTATGATGACATGGCGGATTCGATGGTGGTGATCCGCACAGCTTTAATACTTGCGATGCTGAACAGGAAGATTTTCTAGACTCTGTGAAGAGCTGACTGGAATTGGAATCCATATATTTTCTGTCGACTAAATGCCGACTTTCAGAACTTAGACTACTGCAAGGGCGTTTCCCCATGGGTGGTGTTGAAGATGCACCCTGTACATATGAAATAGTTGTGTGTGGATGAGGGAAATAAGTCTTTGCAGTCCCATCTGACGGTGGCGTATATGAACGCATAAAGATGATATTGTTTCTGTCTTCATGAACGGGACACGGGGCATTTTCAGCAGAAGAACGTCCGTAAGAATGTTCAACAAGGGATTGTTGGTGTTCGAAATTTGGAACGGCACTGCAACTTGAGTCTCTGGTAGTGCTGGTTGGCAAATAATCACTAGATGTTTTCGGAAAATCCTGGGTGGAACGTCCTGGTACATCGGGAGACAAATCTCGGTTTTGTGCTGAATATTCTGTTTCACCGGCCAAAGCTTCAGGACGCGTATGGCAGTTTCCCATCGGAGGGGGTACGGCTTAGAAAAATAAAACTGGTGGCAGAAAAGTTAGCAATCAACGTAATATCGCGCTAGCGCGCAACCACATGCTAAATTCGTACAAGGCGGATTATAATCGTAATTTGAAATTGATGCGTTTAAACAATTTGTGTGTAGGTCGGAAGTGGGCTCTGTAGTTATCAGTAAAATACTAGTGATAATGCTGTGAAAAAGTTCGAAGCGTGTCTATGTAAAAATGCATAAAATACGTGTTTGCTTCGACCTGAGAAATGATGTCAGTAGTTTAGTAATTAGA